GACCATGAAAAACCATCTTCAGGGTTTTGTGCACTGATCATCTATCTGCTGAAATTCAGAGGAGACACAATGAAATCCAGGGATCCTTGGGCTTCACTGCCTGAAGATAAACCTGCTTTCCACCCATGTATGCTTGACTCTGAAGAAGCTTGTCTTCCTGAACACCCACATGGTGGCTTACAATCGTCTGTAACTCCAGTTCCAGGAGATCCCTGCTCTCATGACTTGCACTCATGTACGCATACCCACACACACATGCATACACACACCTACACATAATTAAAAATAATGAAAAATAAATCTTAAGATGAACAACCCAGCCCGATATGGTATCACATGCCTTTAATCCCGGCACTTGGGAGGCAGAGGCAGGTGGCTCTTAGTGAGTTAGAGGCCAGCCTGGATGACAGAGTGAGCTCTAGGACACTCAGGGCTACACAGAAAAATCCAGTCTCAATAAAACGGAAACAAGTAAACAGCCCAAAACCTCTGAGCTGGGAGTGGTGCCATATACCTTTAATCCCCCCAGAGGCAGATCTCTGTAAATTGGAGGCCAATCTGGTCTACATAGTGAGTTCCAAGTCAGTCACAGCTACACAGTGAGACCATAAACAAACAAACAAAAGGTCATGTACCTGAAAGGAAAGGCTGAGTAGCAACTAGCAGTGACATGCTTGCATTGCAAGGGGAAAGTTGTGTGCCACCATGTCCAGCTAAATGGTTTCTCAATCATTGGTGTGGGCAAACATGCTCTTTAAAAAAAAACAAAACGTTTTTAAAGCTGTTTTTAAGGAATTTTATGTTTATGGTTTGCTGGGATGTTGTATATTGGGATGACTTTACTCTAAATGGCTTGTAGGTGTATCCCAGGTATTTTTAATTGTCAGTTGCTGTGCAGGCAGAGAGCTAAGTGCTGGCAGGAGAGCGGCATCCTCCTCTCAACAGCTCATCACCAGCTTTCTATATGTAAATACTTGTCCTTCCTCACCTTCCCAAAGGATGATTCTCTGAGATTTATCCGGTTAAAAAGCAAGTTGCAGCTGGACAGTGGTGGCGCACGCCTTTAACCCCAGCAATCGGGAGGCAGAGGCAGGCGGATTTCTGAGTTCGAGGCCAGCCTGGTCTACAGAGTGAGTTCCAGGACAGCCAGGGCTACACAGAGAAACCCTGTCTTGAAAAACAAAAACAGAACAAAAAAAAGCAAGTAGTCATGAAAGAGATCATATAGCCCTCACTGTGGCCAAAGGGTAACCCAACGAGATAGACTGTTGTCCTGCTGCTGACTGCTTCAGACTGAAATGTGGCTTTTTGAAGGATTAAAAGAACTGAGCTGGGGTAGAAGGAACAGCAGAAAGGAGAGTTGGAGAGGCAGGGGTGGGTCGATTGGACAAACAGGGAGGTAGAGAGCCACATGGAGGGACACGGTGGCAGGAAGTTGGGTTAAATTAGCTTGTAGCTGGGAGTCAGCCCCAGCAAAAGGCCAACAGCCATAGACTATACAAATGTCTCCATGTTCCATGTCTTTATAATTAGACCTCAAGTGGGATCCCAAAAAGCCCCTGCAATATATGCATACAGAGGTCAGAAGAGGGCATTGGATTCGTTCCCTAGAACTCCAGTTACAGATGGTTGAAGACTGTCGTGTGTGTGTGTGTGTGTGTGTGTGTGTGTGTGTGCTGGAACCAAACCCTAGTTCTCGATGAACACAGCAAGTGCTCTCTCTCTTAACCACCAAGTCCCTTCTCCAGCTACACAAGGGGGTCAGATCCCCCAGAACTGGAGAGACAGCTGAGAGCCAACCTGGGGGTGCTGGAGGGGATATGCTTTCAACACTGAGCCAACCCTCCGTGCAGTGCTCAGTGAAACATTCTTACCAGGCCATAAAATTGGACAATCTTATTATTGACAATCAATGCACTTAGTGACTGTACTGGATAGTTTTATGTCAATTTGACACAGGCTAAATCATCTGAGAACCTCAGTAGAGAAAATGACTCCATGAGATCAGGCTCTAGGCAAGCCTGTAGCGCATTTTCTTAATTAGTGGTCGATGGGTCCTGCCCATTGTGGGTGGTGCCATCCCTGGGCTGGTAGTTCTGTGTGCTCTAAGAAATCAGGCTAAGCAAGCCATGAGAAGCAAGCTAATGAGCAGTACTGCTCCGTGGCCTCTGCATCAGGTCCTGTTAGAGTTCCTGTCCTGACTTCCTTCAATGATGAACAATACTGTGGAAGTGTAAACCAAATAAACCCTTTCCTATAAAGTTGCTTTAGGCCATGGTATTCATCAAAGCAATAGACCTAAGACAGTGACTAATAATTCCTAGAGTCCTGTAGTGACCCTTCTCCCTTTTATTTCTCAATAATCGCATTTAACTCTTATGTTTGAGTTCAAGGCCAGCATGGTCTACAGAGTGAGTTCCAGGACAGCTCGGGCTATACAGAGAAACCCTGTCTCGAAAAACAAAACAAAACAAACTCTTATGTTTGTATATTGTGGTGGTTGGAATATTCCTGGGTCAGGGAGTGGCACTATTAGGGGGTGTGGCCTTGTTGGAGTAGGCATGGCCTTGTTGGAGGAAGTGTCACTGTGGGTGTGGGCTTTAAGACCCTCATCCTAGCTGCTGGGAGCCAGCCTCCTCCTAAGGCCTTCAAGTGAAGATGTAGAACTCTCAGCTCTGCCTGCACCATGCCTGCCTGGATGCTGCCATGCTCCTGCCTTGATGATAATGGACTGAACTCTGAACCTGTAAGCCAGCCCTCAATTAAATGTTGTCCTTTACAAGAGTTGCCTTGGTCATGGTGTCTGTTCACAGCAGTAAAACCAGAACTCAGAAGTTGATATCAGGAATCTCATTCTATTTCAAGAGAAAAAAATATAGAGAACACCAAATCAAATAGAATATCATTGTTCTGAGAGATCCAAAATTCTAACTATTCTCATTGTCATATACCCTCTTTCAAATAGAAATGTTAAACTATTTAATATAAATATCAATCATCGGTCACATAAGCATAAAATTCCATAGGTTTTTGTTGTTTTGTCTCTTTTGAACCAGGGTCTCACTGGAGCAAAGGATGGCCTCAAACACTGGCTGTATTTGAACTTCTCACCCTTCTAACTCCAAGTGCTAGGATTACAGGCAAGCCTGCCTGATTTTATGTGGTGCCTGGTACTGAACCCAGAGGTCCCTGGATTTCTCATTTTATGTCTAGCCAACATCAGATCTTGCTTCTAGAATATATCTGAGTTATGTGCAAAAGCATAGAAAGGAAATCTTTCCAAATGAGTTTAACTTAAACAGCATTCTGAGGTGAAGAAAGGGATGTGAGCGCAAACACACTACACACACGTACCACATGCACACCACACACACATACCACATGCACACCACACACAC